GCTGCTTGCCTGCGGCTCGCAGCTAGCGGGCGGTTTCCGAGGGTGGTCATGTGGAATTCATGTGTATCCACAGGACCAAAACATGACTTTCTGTCATTAGGGAATTTCCAGCTGTTTTCATATATAAGATTATAGATAAGGTAAGCTAATCAACATTTTAAGCAGTGACATCATCATTGAGTATATAATGAATATGACGTTGGTATAATAATATGGTCATATTCATCTTTATTTATATGCTCAATTTTCCTATTCATTATGCAGAAGGCAGAAATAATAATATTTCTGGGAATATGTTTCAACTATACTGTAGTCTGTAGCATTCTGTTCACTTTGTATGTTACACATTACACGGGCAATAAAATTCAAAAGGTTTTTGGATGTCACTATTTTACTCAAAATATTGTTCCAAAAGGGCAATTTTTGATATTTCTGTGCCCCTCTGGCACCAAGAACTTCCTAATTAGGAAATAATCCATATTTATATTTTTGTATTAAATGGATTATGGAACACCAGTTGCAGTATTCACATTGAATAAAATGCAACAGTATTCTATCATTGTATAATTGTTGATGTCACTACAACCATTGGCATATGCACATTTATTTAATTTAATCAAGTCAATCCGACTCAACACCAAGTATCAACTTGAACTACATATCAAGTTATCCTTTTACCTTTATACCTCAGGCTGGTATTTTGGAAATTTCTTCAGATCATGCACAACTTCAACATGCCCTACCAGTGCACCAAGCTCCTTTAACACCACTTCCAGCTCCTTGTTTCGTGACCAACTGATGTTGGAGATTCCAACCTTACCTTGCTTGCTTTTGCGGCAGACAAGCCACTTGCGAACCGCATCAAGGTAGCGAGTGGAGTCATGATACAAGCCGTGGATGTGTAGGCGCTCAAGGGAAGGTAGGAGTGTGCGGGTCTGCTGCTGCTCCGAGTCTGCTTCAGCATCTGCAAAGCGTGCAAACTCCGGTGCCATGTTGTGAAAGCTTGGACTGGCAAGATCCAACGGCGAGTGCCCGATAGTCACCTGTCTTGCTTTGGAGAACAGCAGCAGAAAGTCGGCCATGGCGACATCCCTCCATCCGCCATAATTGACATTCAGCAGGGTCACATTTTCGACGTGGCACTCAGAGCGTGCGATTAGGTTGGCAAAAATGTTATGTGCAAGCCTGTCTGGCTCTTGTGCAACTGTAAGATCATCTAGGAGCGGCAAGCGGAGATGGTTGAGGACCCGAAGGGGGTAGGTCGATGTGCCATCACAGCGGAGACGGCGGAGATGGGCCAGCTCCAGTGGCTCTGAGGATGGCTGGAAAAGTGCGGGACCATCAAAGGCATGATTTGATACTGTATTCATCAGTGTCAAGTCCATGATGCATGGCGCTGCAGCGAGGGCAGACAATGTATCTTGCAGGTCGGACTGAGAGATCGATAGAATCGTGAGTCCATGAAGTGCAGAGAGGCTGATCGTCCCGAGAATGGGGCAGTGTTCGTGAGAGAAGGCGTTAAGCGGCAGTATGATGGACAAGGACTCTAGATTGGGACAGTTGTTGAATACACTAGTAGATGTCTGAGTGCCTGCATCATGAAGAGCCTCTGTCCGGAAGTAAACATTTCGTAGTGATAGGAACCGGAGTGCTACCAGGTGGCTTACAGGCACACCTTCATCTGGGCGCATGTCAAATGGGAGAATTACAGGCTTCCCATTCTCGTCAGGACCACCGGACAGTGAAAGGGAGCGCCATCGTGTAGCATTAAACTGCAAAAGTATATAGATTGCAATCATTGTCGAGGCCTCGTCTCTGTGTGCCTTGAAGTGTATGTCAATGTCCAGAGGAAGCATCAGAGAGTTTTGCAGCCAGCGGTCCAAAAGTTTCACTGGCTTGCGTAACCGCGTACAATCGATAACGATCCGGGTCCAAAGATGCGCTTCGCCATCTACGATTTGTTGCCAGGTGCGACACACACTGCGGATGTCGAGGATAAAGTGGATGGGATCAGGAACAGAGTCCACCCCGCACTGGAAAATCTTGCCCATAAGTTCGGTTGCAAGGGTCTCGATGACAGGAAAGGCCACATCGGCGAGTTGTGCCTTGAGATAAATGATCTCTGCTTCAATGGCTGACCGCGCAGAGTAGAGATCTGCGAGGCGATGACGCATCTCGGAGCGGCTCATGGTGGTAAGCTTGAGAGCTGCAAGTCGCCACGCAGTGTGACGCACCTGAGAATTGTGTGATGAGAAGCGCCATGGTCTCCGGGCCGGGAATCCGATAGCGATAGCTAGATCTAATAGGAAGAGTCACACATTGATAGTTCGCAGACTGCCCGGGCGAATCCCAAATGGCCAGCGGTGAAATCGGAGGTCGACATTCAGCGGCAACGCTGCCTTACGTGAATTTACCGAAATATATACACAGGAAAACAATATCTGGGAGTATATGATCAGGAATACGTGCAATCCAAGCAGAAACTACGAACAAATTACGAACAGCACTGAACGCAGCAAGTGGGTCGGTTCTGCTAGCGCTTTACACTGTGCAGCGACAGTCGACTATTGACAACGGCACGTCGAGTCCGCTTGGTTGTCGATAGAAGTAGAAGGAGGGAGTGGCTCTCCAGGAGCGTCGCACAAGAGTTCGCTAACAAAGACGTGAGAAGGAATGTGTATGATCCGGTTTCACCTATGCAGCAATGTCGAAGACCACGCACAGAGTCACAGCCCTGCGTCGGCGCTTGCTGAAATCCAGTAAGCAATATAGTACTTGCTATCATAACCACAAAATTCACCAATCGCGCCTTCTTTTCCGTGGCCGGCCGACACACGGGACAAGGTAATAGCTAGAACGCGCGAATATTAATCTAAACCCGTCGATATGGAGGAATGAGACGCACTGTGCGGCCTCTTCCTGACGATCGCAAGCTTCCCCTTAGGCTCTTCGCCACACCATGCTCATCTTCGACTCGACTCGAATCTGTCGCGCCAGCTTGCCACGCAGGAGTCGGCAGGACACGGAAACGGCTAGAACGCGCGAATGAGTGAGTGCCTATCGATACCCAGGGGATGCATGATACGATACTCACAACGGCGCGTTAATGCCCATAAAATCCTCCCTTGCTCATCCTTTGCCTGCGGCCCCTCAGTGCCGCCTTGTCCTGCAGTCGTTCATCGTTGTAGCTTGCTCGTTGGTGAGCGGCGGCTTTGCTATCGCACACCGGCAGACAAACGCTGGTCTTTCCACCCCCTCACACGAAAGCCCTCCCACTCTGTCGATGGTGGCCTAGGAAGGGCTGGGAAAGTCGATCAGGCTGCCCAGCCCGCTCCACGGTGGCTCGCGAAAACGCACCGGCATCGAGCACGCAGATGGCTTGCGCTCGCTTTGCCCGCTCCAGCAGCCTGAGTTTCAGCGCCACCGTCAACGACGGTGAGGCTACCGGTCGTCGACAACAAGGGCGGGCTTCTCCCAGCTGGTCAAGACAGAGAGCCGAGCTCACGACTTTGAGGAGTCTTTACGGCCACTCTGTGGGCGTTCGTGCCCTGTGCGGCGCGCGCGAGATGGTAAGAGGCAACCCGCAACAGACGGGGCCGCCGATCGGGATTCCGCGCTCACTGGGCATAGTAAGTTCAAGTCGCCATTGGCCAGAGCGTCTTCGGGAACGCGAAGGTTGGAGAGTGAATAGAGACATTGGAGATGTGGTGCTCGAAAGTCCGCTTGGCTTGTCGAAGCAGAGAGCATCCGTAAACGGCGGTCAGAAAGCAGCCACGCTATCACGCACCAAGGCAACGGCGGGGCTCCTCTTCAAGTTTCCAACCCTCTCCTCACAATGTAGCAGGCTTGCCCGCTGCAGTCGCCAGTGGTAGCTGAATCCGTACCCACAATAGAAAGTCAGTCAGACTTGCCCGTTGACGTCAGCTGTAAAAACGCACCAGCCGCCCCGTGCGTGTGGGGGCCACCTAGCAAACAGACTGCCTGAGCCATGTGTCTCTTGCCAGCAGTACGTCCCATGTTCGTGCCGTTGGCGAGTCGCGATATAATATATCCGATATTGAAGCGAGTGGTCGTCAAGAGAAGAAGAAATTGACGTGTGACCGTGACGTGGCGGCGTGATCGGCCCGTCCCTCCTTCTTCCGCTCCACCACCCCGCTTTACCGCCCGCATCCCTCCCGGGCCCGACTGTCGTATGCAGCGCAGATGACGCACACAAGAAGCCAAAGACCGCTTATCGCCAACTTGACTGACTCAAGGCATCCTCGGTTTTTGCCAAGTTTGTCCAATCCCATTTCACGCTCGCGCTGCGTCAATTGCCAGTGGTGGCGCGCGAGGCAACGACTAAGGTTGTCTTACCCCGTCATTGTTGTTTTTCTCAGCCTCTTACAGCCAGCGCTGGCGTTTCGAGTGCCAGGCCCGCGGGCCGCAGACAGCTGCATTGACTGTCGTCATCAGCAGGGAATGGGAGGGGCTACCATCGGGCATTGTTGGTCATCTAGGTGGGTACCAGCGCGTTCATGCAGTCGTATCATATCTTGACCTGTCTGAAGCTTTTCCCGACGATGCACGGCCGCGGAACCCCTTCACTGCCTCCAGCTCTCGGACTCTGTATGCGCGCTGTTGTCGCTCACGAACGGCAAGCTGCGTCTCCACGCATTTCCCACAACAACTAGGCGAAAACCCGAGGAAGAGGGATGGTAGAGTCGAGGCTGGCTTAACTACCATCGCGAGAACGCCTACTCCTTCCCGCGGCAACCAACGTGCTGAGGACAACGACCCCGTGCGACCCCGTGCTGCTATAGGCGCAATGCGACGCTTGTACCCAGGGGCCTATCGCGGGCCGAGTTCTCAAATCCCCGCTCATGTCATGATTGAAGACTCTTGAAGTAGACAAAGCGCTGATCACCCAAAGCTATGAAAGCTTTGTCTCCGTGCGCTTGGTCCGTTGAACGGCAACGGTATAAAGAGCAAGGCTTGCTCCGTTCCGTCCGCACACGACCATGCCACCCGCAATCTTCCCTCTCTCTGCATTGGAGAAACTGCCCATCACTCAGCGAGTAAGCTACGTCTCATGACTTTTGGAATTGGCGCTGATTTACCTAGGTTATTGCCCAGCAAGCGCTGAAAGGCTCCATCCCTGCTCTCAAAAAGCTGCTCTTCTTTTCTTCCCCAGAAACATGCTCGTCACTTCTAGCCATCGTCTACCACCTCCTTTCCCCCGAGCTTATCGCAAGCCGTCTGCGCACGACGGCAGACGAGTCCCTGGTCAAGGTTGCCCAAGCGATTTTTAATCTCGCCTCTGCGTGCCACCCTGGCATCGATCTTTCCGCCGCCAAAGCGCTATGGCCGCGCCTTTGGTGCTATATCCTTGCCATAGAGCACTTTGCAGATTCGTCTGGCGATTTGGTCCAGTCCTCCGCCATTCTCCAGAACATCTGTGGGCCGATGTTGGTCTGCGTGTTGCCCACGGCTCGTCTTGTCAAGCGCTCCGGAATGCTAACCGACCCCGCCATCACACCCGGCATTGCCCGACTCACAGGGAGGCTGTGGGCTGAGCTGATCCAGGCCAAGCTGACTGACAGCCAGCATGTGCGACGGCGAGCGGAGAGCCTCGGGGCTGTCTACGAGCTGCTGGAACTCCTCCACTCCGTTTTTGCAGTGGCGGACGAGATAATCGCGGGAATCGAGACGGCACATTTGCAAACTGACTTCAGCAAGCTGATCATTGACGCCATCGGAGCTTATGTGCCAGCAGTAACAGGCCAGATCCGTGAAGACAGTGAATATGTGGAGCTGCTTGGGCTGATTGCTCTTGTCGACGCACTCGCTATTCCTCCCCCCGGAACACCGCCGACGACATATGCCACAGCGCTTGCTCACTATGGCCTGCAAGAGACCCTCACACGCCTAATCGCTTCGCCAGTTAGGCTGCCTGTGACGGTATTACCTGCCTGTCTCTTCACACTCGCAGGGATTCTCACGGCGGTTGATACTTGGACATACCTTCCCCGCGTCATTGATGCGGGCCTGCTCGGCGTCTTGAAGTGGGTGACTGTGGACGAGCCGCGGGAGCAGCCGGAACTCAGCACTCTCTGCGCCCAACGTATTCTGACGTTATGCTTTCCAACGGCGTTGGTCTTCCACCCTGTTATCCGCGCGCTACAACAGCAGAAAAACATTTTTGACGCGCTAGGCGACAAGGAACCAGATCCTCGATCCCAGCCTGAGCTCACTTGCTACTGGTGGAGCCTGTTCAAGTTAGCCAAGGGGCAGGTGGAGTTGCTGGAAGCGTACGAGTCAAAGGAGTTTGTTGAGCGCCGAATGTGTGGTAACCCTACTGTAAGTTCGTTGAGTATGCTGTGGTATACCTTGCTCAATACGCGTCATAGTGTGGCCGAATCGCACCAACGGCAAGTTTCAGGCGATGCTCTGCCTGTGTTGGGAACTTCTACTGCGACAAGAAGTGTCAGAAGGCTTCGTGGGTGCACGACCATCGCTCATATGGCTGCGAGCTGGCCAGTGAGTCGTTTTGTCCACCCAGTCTGAGGCTTGAATGACATCTTTGTAGATACCATGCGGCTGCGGAACCGCGGGCCTACGTCGCCCTTCCACGCAAAGCACAGCGAAACCTTCCTCCGGCTCAACTTACGACACAGCTACGAGTCATTCAAACTCGACATTCTCATTCTCACCCTCGAGTGGATAAACCTGCGCCTTCCCGGTCGTCCGCTCATCGTGTTCAACTATATAGAGGGCCTGGGCACCTGTATCATCCGCCTCGTCCCCCTGCACTCCAACTCTGTACTCAATGCAGTCTCGGAGCTCGAAGATAGGGAGCTTGATGAGCTTTTCCGCTCCCGCTCGTCTTTCACTGTCTCCGCGCCGAGCCCAGACGATGCATACGTGCTGGGCCTCCACCACATCGCCGTCAAGGAGCGGGACAGGACGTTCCATTTCGACTGGGTGCTGTGCTCGCAACGCGCGGCGTTCGTGCGGAAACGGCTGGAGGAAATCCGCGACAAGATACAGGGCCTGGAGGGCGTCCAGATGAACAACTTGCAGGAGAGCGCGCCGCAGATTTACGATGAGCTTGTGCAGCTAAGCGGAGAGGAGCTTGATGAAGTGTATCGTTGACCATTGACGACTATGTACAAACTGGAAAATTCATCATATTAGTCGACTAAAAAGTGTCAACAGTCAAGAACGATAAGCACTCAAACTGACTCACCACCCGGCTAAACGCGCCAAACAACGCGCCTTTGGGCCTTCACACATCGCCAATCCGCCTTGAATCTTCCTCTGCATATACCACGCACACCTCCACAACCCCTCCGCCAAAAGCCTTCACCTCCGGCCGTGAACTTGAAGTCGCTGGAGCGATATCTGCCGCGCGAGCATAGAATATGTCGACGTAGATTGGGACAATAGTCGCAAGGATGTGGGGAATACGGCGAGTGTTGACGCGGGAGACGAGTAGAAAGGGTACAGGCGAGTGGAAATGAGGTTGCTTTGTGAGCGAGGGTAGCATTTGAGCCTTTTTCTGCGAGTAGGCCCTTGAATAACGGTGCAGGAAGCTCGCCGTTGGTGGCGGGAGTGTGTGCTGTCGCGGATGTAGGGTATGCCCGATAGAGGGTTCTATCTCCCACACTCGCGCGCGAGCTCCGAAGCATGGCGGAAGCCTCGTTGGGCGGCAGTTTCGAGTTGCTCCAGCGAGAGACTCAAAACTCGCAAAACATGATCCTCCTAGTCGGTGGTGGGGAGCATGGGGCGGCAGTACAGCTTTCACTACTCCGTTGTTCACTAGGATTACCGGCCCGGGACTGGGGGAAAAAATGTCAGAAAGAGCTTGACGAGAGGGACAGCCTAAATTTTGGCGCACCACAGCCAACAGCCAGCCCCTACACCCAATGTCTCCCTTTCTGCCTCTCCTAGCGCCGGCACTCCACCATTTCTGAATCCTGCATCTCGGGCTTGCAGGGCATGGGGAGCAGTTCCCACTGAGCCCGTCGTTTAGCAGAGCAAAAAGCGTGAAAGAAGATGCATACCTAACTACCCGCTGGCGCTCAGGCACAGGGGACCAAGAATGCCCAGATGTGCTTCGATGACGGCGGGCTCTGACGCCGTGGACGACGGAGACGTGGCCGCGGATGGCGGGCTCATGAGCGGAGGAAACAAGAAGGCATCAGCGGATCGGCATCGAGCCCAAAAAGGAAACCGGCTTCTTCTTCTCCTCCTTCATGTCGATCGCGCAGTCCCCACCACGCAGAACGCGGACGACTCTCCTCTGCGGCACTGCTCGCCTACCAGCGGCTCGGATGGGACCCTCAAGGTCGATGACGCGGGATGACGTGGCACCGCTCAAACGCTGCCAAGGACGATGATGGGCGCGCGGGTCGATGGAGCTGGGTGGAGCGAAAGGATGTCGCTGAGCACGCTAATCTGGGGCTTCCTGGCCGAAATTGAGAGATACTTGTGGCGCTCATGGTGCGTTATCAACAAGCTTGGCTGTCCCGCTAATACTCACCCACATTACTTTCACTTGTCGTAGGCAAAGCTGTCCTCTGCCTTCCACCTTCACAAACTCCGACCTCTCGCGTTCAATACGCAACTACACCTTCACTGCGGACGCCATACAGACGATGGAGCCATTCAAGTCCGAGACTTTGTCCTTTTGGCTGGGACCGCCACGACCGACTTGAAAAAGTCGCGCGCGGCTGGTAAAAGAGGCCCAGGGGTTGTACAAACGGATATATAGTCTGGCGCTACCATTAGCAACAGCTTGGCCGAAGCAGAGGTGCGCTTTTCGACTAGATTTTCTATGCCGCGCTCACACCTTGAAGAAACCGCGCAGAGTGGAGCTATTCCCCGTTCTTCCTCGTGCCCAACATGATCCTCTCTCTTCTCCGACATTTATACTCATCTTTTCCCACCATTGAACGCTGGTCCCGCTGCCATTCTTCGTTGCCGTCGTCAAATATGGCGTCAAACACCCCCACGTTCCATGAGCCGCCATCGCTCGCCGTTACACGCGAAGAAAAGGCTTCCCGCTCATCTCTCCATATTCCTTCATCACCCCCCGCTACCGCCAATCGATTCCACCACCTCATTCCCGACGTCGCCAACGCCCTCCTCGGCCCGCATCCCATAAAGCAGTCTTTAGCCATCTTCTGGCTGTCAACGTTTCCCCATCGTATATTAGAGGTCTTCGCCTTCCCCCGGAACACAATGCGGTCCGCGAAACACTGTCGCCGTCATCTTTTCGCGCAAAAGTTGCTTATGTGGCCAACACGGTTCTCTAATGGCTGGGAGCCTCTTCCTGCTTGAGTCACGGATTCCCCACCCACTATTTGTATCCTCTACCACGTCCATTTACCCTCCGGATATGTGGCGGCTCCGTCCTTGAGCTCATTGTGCTCTTCCTCGAAATCCCCACACTGTCGACACCTCTCCCGCCATCTCGGCTGCTGCAAAGCAACGCGTGCATAAAAGAGATCAATTGCGAAGCCGACAGACGATCTCAGCACTCACAGCCGCTTGAATTCGATTGTCACTATCGCTTGAGATGTATTCCCCGCAGTCTCGCCTTCTCGTCCCCCAACAATGTCTTTTCTAACGAGCGATGCCCTTCATGTTCTATGTCCCCTTGTCCCGCCATCATTAGGTACCCTTGCTGGCAAGCTTCTTCCTCGCTTCCTTGCTCGTTTACTTCATATGGACACAAAAGACGCGGCGAATTCCGCTGCGCTCTTGTTTTCGGTCTACACGAATAAAATCTCTTTTGCACCGCCTTTTGCGGCCCCGGGCCAAATAACAATGTCAAATCGCACATCGCTATCACTCCCGCTCGTCCAGGCGCAGTTCTGCTGGCGAGCTGATACTCCCCTTGACTGCGATATCACTCCTTATGGCGCTCTTCCTTCCCCCAAATTGTGCCTCGCTCATTGTCTGATGCCTCTGCCGATACTACCAATATGGCTTCCCCGCCGGTAGCTGCTCTTGGTCCATCTTGGCTATCGAACTCCTCGCCGATGTATTACTGTGCGGTACATCATTCCCGGACCGACCAGCGATATTATGGCTCCGTTCCGAAGGCAGTGGTTTCGTTCTCGTTAAATATGCCCCCGAGATCAGCCAACAACTTGACGCCAACGCTGTTCTGCACGGGTTCTTGTCTGGCGCATGCGCTTCAGCCGGGCTCGACGAAAACCACTTCAAAACGTTCCCCGGTGAGCCTTGGTGTTAAGCCGTTTGGAAGTATGCCTCTCATACATATCTGTATCGGATATTGTACATCTAGCCGTGAAAGCTCTTGCTTCAGCAGTCTGAGTACTTGGATGGCAATCATGAATCCTGCCCGTTTCTCAAGAGTGGATTGCGGTGCCAAATGCGGTCTCAGGTGTGTTGTCACTTTGCCTCATGTCGTGTCTATTTCTGTTCTCCATACTGGGTGCCAGGCAGCTGCCGATCCAGGCACGTGCCGGCCACGTTGGGGCTGCGTGTTATGATAAAAGAGGCGACATGGTAGAGGGGATTCCAATGTTCTTCTGGCTTGCACTTGTCGCTCACGCACGAACTGCTAACGCTGTAGCAGGGGCATTTGACGCCGCGGGCATGACTGGTTGCACGGACAATTGTCGCACACTCTACGACATTGTCTCCGGCTGCCTGCTTACTATATTCGCCTGCGTTTGGGTCTCTATCCACCCAAACGTTCCGAAACCCCCTGCCCTTGCTGAGCCCGGCCCGGACACCAGCATCGTCGCCCGGCTGAGGTGGAAGCTTGTCCATGGCACGCATCCGTTCCGTGCGCGGCTCAAGCTGATGCTTGTTGGCGTGCTGGCACCGGAGCTTATTGTTGGGCTAGCCCTGAGGCAGAATGCGATGGCGACGAGGTTTTCTACGCGTCAGCAGTCCTTCTTGCCTTTCTGCAGGGCTAACATTGTTTTCCAGTCCTCGGTGTATCCAAGACCCACGGGTTCTTCATCGGCATGGGAGGTCTTGTCAGCGTCGACGGGGATCCGCTCGTAACGGGTGAACAAGTTGCCGGCCAGCACCTAGTGTACTTCCACTCCCAAAAGAAGCCTGACATGAACCACCCAACCGTTGCGGCCATCCAGGCTATTCCGCGGGAGGTCATCACAGACAAGAGCAAGGGCGACGTTTACAGCAAGGCATTGGCACTCAGCCAGAGCCTCTGGTTCATCCTCCAGTGCCTGGTGCGCTTGGTTCAGCGCCTACCGCTTACCCAGCTTGAGGTGGCGACACTCGCGTTCACCGCCGTCAACTTCTTCACGTGGGTTGTGTGGTGGGACAAGCCGCTCGATGTTGCAGAGCCCTTTGTGGTCGTTGGAAACACGGTCCGCGTCCAGCAGCCTGTTATGAGAAAACGAGTGTCAGGCCCGGCACTAATGCCATTTCGTCGACGCTTCCTGCGGCTACTTGGCTTCCGGCAGTGGTGGGACGGCTTTGACCCACAACGGATGCGTGCTGTGCCAACATTCTGGTTCGGCTGGGGATATGACACGCCGCCGGGCTTGGAGCACATATGTCTGGTCCGCGAACTTCTCGTCGCGTGCCTGTTCGGGGCAATCCACTGTGCTGCCTGGCGGGCTGCCTTCCCATCCACGGCGGAGATGCAAATCTGGCGCGTCACAGCGAAGATGCTTGCAGTTGTGCCGTTGGTCGCGATATGCATACTACAACTGGGGCTGGACTCGTGGTTCATTGTTGGCGACAACTCGTGGACGGTGACACAGAAAATTATTCAGGCGCTGCTGCTGCTCTATCTCCCCAGCCGGCTCGTTACGTTGGTGCTTCCCTTTGCCGCTCTGCGCACCGTTAACCCGTTGGTTTACGTTGATGTGGATTGGAGCGTATATATCCCTCATCTCGGGGGTTAGTCATGTACATTTGTGGTGACGTTCTGGATTTGAACCCATCCTTGTTCCCAACGCCCACCTGGTCGACTCCTCGCCATCGCGCACAGATGTAAAGCAGCGCGGTCGCTCCCGGGGCACTCGACAACGTTGTCGCGTCGGTGCTAGCCCCCAGATCCCAGTTATCCAAAGCCGAGAAAAGTTCGATTGGCCCTGAGGCTTGGGCCGGAGGGTACACGAGAATGGTGGGAGTGGGACTCGTGCCAGTCCCACTCCCGTGTATCCGATGACTGATTGGTGCAACTCAGCACCACTTGGTGGGACTTGACTGTCCTCGCCGACGCTATCAAATATGATGCGATGATGGAAGCTGTCACCCATCATGTCATGCACAGCCCCGACAGCGATCTTGTCGTCTGCACCCACCACTGCTGAGTGACGGTCCGGACGCCCGGCCGAGCAAGTCCCTGGCTTCCCAGAAACTTCGATACACTGCGCCCCCCACACCCACTAGTCATGCAAACTCACCGAATGACTCACAACAATGTGTGGACACGTGGCGGCAAGAAATTGCCATATGACCGGACACACGAGCTACACCGACGCTAAAGCCGCACTTGGCCAGGGTTGTGTCAAGACTCACCGCCCTCGACATCCCCATTAATGCTTCCCTTTCAACCTTTCACCCTCCCGCTGACTCGCCGTATGATACCACCAAGAAAGCGGGGTGCGATCTCAATCTAACGCCAGGGTCTGGTATGTATATAATCGGGCATCCAAAGAATCATAATCCAACGCCTCTAACTCTTACCACAGTCCACGATGCCTGCTGTGTCTGAGGCCGGTGATGCAAATACTGCCGTCGCACGATTGTCGACACGAGACCGACGGACATAAGTACCGCACCTTTGTACGTCGCCATTCAAGTTTGCGTGTGTTTATGCTCAATAATGACGGACACACTTCAGATGTTTCCCCTCGAACTCGGCAATGCAACACATGAGCCGTTCTTTTCGCTCGAAAATGCTGCCTCATGGATTACGACCTTTTCCTCATCTGGGATGACTCCGATGTCGATATCTCCAATTTCGACGCTGAAGCAATCCGGGGTGATGACCTCATATCGTATCGCGAAACGGTGCGTCTGAGTGCCTGTCTGTCTTTCGGAATCTCATCTTGACTTCAGATTTTACCTCCCGAATATGCTGTCCACGAGTTCTTTTCGTTGGACAACGCAACCACTTGGGTCCTCCCAACCGCTTCTATGGCATATCTTGCCTTTCTGGAAACACGACGCCGTGGCCGGCCTACCTCACGGTCTTCACCTCGAGAGCGCGGCAAGTCCGTGTCCGGCCATGCCAGCCATGCACCGTCTCCAGCTCCTCCTCAGGCGTGGAGTACTCCTGTGTCATCTCGCGCCGCCTCAGTCGTCTCCCATCGGACCGAATCTGCCCCCGAGTCAAGCTCCGAGTCTCCGACCACAGCGAGAACGGCAGCGTCGACTACGGAGCAACTTACCCTGCCGCTAGAGAATGATGAACAGTTGTCGCAAGGTGAAATGACTGACCTTGCTAGCACCAAGAGAGACACCCCACCCACTGCAGGCAGCGTGCCTTCGACCTCGGGTTCGATGACAGTTGCTGATGAGCCCCGGAAGCGTCGTCGCGCTGCCACGACAACCAGTGAGTCCGATGTGTTGCCGGAAGGGGAGAGGCGAAGGCGGAAGGATAGTCGGAGATTGCGGCAATTGGAGTATTATGAAGAGGATTGATGTAATCTGATGTTTCGTGATCCGATGATGAGAAATTCATGAATTTCGACGGGACCCAGTCCCACTGATGTTGTGCAATCCCACCTGAATTGCTTGATTGGTGGCACCTAGTGGGCAAAGTGGGACTCGCACGAGTCCCACTCCCACCAAACTCGTATATACTCCTTGGGCCGTCTGGACAACGGGCACGGGGTGTGATTCGTCTTCTGCTCGTCGAGATGGAGTTGTGCCGGGCGGAAGAATGGGTATTGTGTGTTGCAACCGCCTGAGGAATGGCCGAAAGGGTTGCGGAAGCTGAAAGCGTGGCGTGGCATGTATGTAGTCTCCCACAAATATAGAGGTGAATCCAAGCCAGCGAATAGTGTCAGCCGCTGATAGATACCAGCTGAAGAACGACATAAGCATTGCACTGGTTATTATCAGCCGAATGAGACGCACCAAGAGAACTATATCCTCCCGAAGCTCTTCTCTTCGCCCTACCACCGGGAATTCTGCGACGCCCTCCCTGTTCTAGTGCCGTAGCAGCGATTGCCCTTCCTTTGCGAGATTGGCGGCAGCTGCTGAGTTGGACGGATAGGAAGAAGGGCTAGTGGGCGTTGGACACTGGGACATGATTTGAACTGGAGGAAGAAATGGTCAACAAGGATCGGGGGCTGGAGCTTGACAAGAAGGACGGTGTTGGCGCACCACAGCTGGTCTGCACCCCAGATGCCATTCCCACTCACAGCGCCAGCCCTCCAACATTTCTGTGTTCTGCACCGTTCACAGTAGCTCACACTGAGCCCGTCGTTTAGCAGTCTAGCAGAGCGGGATACATACCTAACACACGGTAAATTCAAATCTTTCTTTTCCCTCAGAAACATGAACACAAATATCACCTTTTAATATATATTTCCTTTGGAAAGAAATAAGATATTTTATCTGAATAAAAATAGACACCAAAATGATTTCTTTTTATCCATCTTTAAGTACCATAGAAAGACTCTCTTTTCATCACAATGAAAGAGCAATTAAAAGACTGCCATTTTGTCCAACTTTCTGTCTACAACAAATTGTGATCTTTGTGTTTTTGCAAAAAGGCCAAGTGAAAATCAGGGCTTTTGATGTGCCTTTTGTGTTGCACAAAGAACAACTTTCATTGACACACAAAGACATTCAGAAAGATCGTCTTTCTGTGCCTCTTTTGGACTATCACAAAGAACATCTTTGTGATTGCCCAAAAGGGGAAAGGAAAGGGCATCTTTCTGTACACCTTTCAGTGTGACTAAAAGATTAGCTTTTTGTCAGGACTAATAGGCGTGAAGAAATATGATATTTCTGTGCTACCCTAGGGTATACCTTGGGGTATACCCTAGGGTACACCTTGCAGCTCAGGTAGGGGTACCTTGGATGATATTGTGACAGAATGCTTATGTGATTGCCTACAATGCCCACTAATCACATCATCATGAGGCACATGCCCAGCTCCGCTTTGAAACAAAATCCTTGAAGCCGCGCTGCGTCCAAAATTCAAGTCAAACAGTCAAAGTGATTGCTTATTACAAACAATATATACATGAACAGTGTATCAAACTACTCTACACTACATTATACGGAGCACTTCAGCCTCAGACTTGATAAAAAGGATCAGTTGTTCAATACCTCGGACGATTCCGTTGCGCCCACCACAGAGACGCGGAGCATGGAGTTCAATATGGTTGTGACCACATACGGAACAGGGCACCCTCCCGAGCCAGGCGGGCCTGAACCATTCGTGGCAGACCTTTTCTGCGCCGCGTTAGTACGACAACGCGGGCACTAAAAGGAGTGCTACCCATTCGCTTGCGATCCCGGACATGCCACATTGCAGCCCAGTAGCGAGTGGTGCACTTGTTGAGCTGTCGGAGGCGATTCTTGGGTAAAGACGTGTGTCCGATCTTGAAAACGCGCTGCCCATTTCGCAATTTGAGGTCCAAGGCGTAGATTACGCCAGGACCGTCTTTGGGCGGAGAGTGGTGATGGTTGGAGATCAGTAGCGCTCGCACTTGCCAGTCCCCAGTCCCCAGTCCCCAGCACGCAAACGGCCCTTCTCGACCGTACTGCCGTTGGACACGCTCATGAACACGCCCGGCCAGAGCCTCACGGTCGATGACGTGGCACTGCTGCCAAGAACGACGATGGGCGGCGGGTCGATGGAGCTGGGTCGGGCGGAAGGATGTCGCTGAACGAGCCTATCTGGGGTGTCCTAGTTGTACTTGAGAGATATGTGCGCCCTTCACGGTGCGTTATCGACTCCCTTGGCTGTCCCGCCCATACTCACGCACATCGCCTTAGATTTTCGCAGGCAAAGCTGTCATCGGCCTTCCCCTCCACAAATGCCGACTTCTCGTGTTTCACCCGCAACTGAGGCTTTAATCCGGATGCCTTGTAGACGATGGAGCTGTCCAAGACCGGGACTTGGCAGTTGTACTACCTCTTGGACGACCACGACCGACTTGAAAAGTCGTGCGCGTCCTGCAACAAAGGCATATTGGCTTCAAAGAGTGGATATAGATTCTGGGGTGAGTGCTCTAAATAGATTTGGAGATGCAAAGGTGCGTTCTTTGCTTATTTCTCTGCGCAGCTGATTTCTTGCAGAGACCACGCAACACAGCACTGTTCCCTGTCCTTCCTCGTGCCCAAATCGTTCCTCCCCCCTCTCCGAGGACGATGCTCGTCCTTGTCAACGATCCAATGCTGGCGCCGCTGCCATTCTCTGTCGCCGTCGTCAAATATGGCGCTAAACACCCCAAGTTGCATAAGCCCCCATCGGTCGCCATTATACGCGAAGAAAAGACTTATCGCTGATCTATTTATGCCTCTTCATCACCCCCCGCCACCGTCAATCGATTCCGCCACCTCATTTCCGATGTCGGCAATCCCCTCCTCCTCCCGCATCCTATAACGTGGTGCTTGGCGCTGTACAGGCTGTCAATGTGTCCCCATCCTAAATCGAAGCCTTCGCCTTCCGCAGCGACCTAATGCGCTCTGCGAAACACTGTCGCCACCATCTTTTCGCGCAAAAGTCGCTTATACGACCAATACGCTTCTCCCATGGCTCGTAGCCTCGTCTGGCTGGAGTCACGACTTCCCCACCCACTCTTCATATACCTCTACAACGGCCATTCGCTCTGCGGTCGTCCGGCGGCTCCGTTCTGGAGCTCGTTGTCCCCTTCCTCAAATTCGAAATCCCCACACTGTCGGCATCTCTTGCGTCGTTTCCGCCGCTGTAACCAAACGCGGGCTCAAAGGAGCTTAATTACGACCCCGAGAGCCGATCTCAGGACTCCAGGGCCCAGGCGGCTCGTTTAGACTGCCAATATCGTGGAAGACGGCTATAAAATCCACATCGTATTCACAGTGGTTTCGCATTCTCGCCTCTCAAGACCGCTTTTCCCAATGACTATCTGCTTTCATACCATTCCTCTCCCTTCGCTACTATACTTATAGTTATCTTCACTTTTCCTCTGTCCCTGCGTCCACACTTAGAACTAGGTACGCTATTTACTACATACAATTCCGCTTCTATACTCCTCATTCCCAGACACCCCCCGCCAACAACCGCGACTAGTATTCCCCATCGCGCTCTGACTCGATAGCGCCCGTTGGCCCTCAGCTGGTCTCGGTTCCGAGCAGAGAGCGCTGGATAACAGTCAGACCTCGCGCTTCTCGGGATGGATTCTTCGAGAGATTTGGGTTCTGGTTCCGATTCCGGGGAGACTTTTTTCTTCATTCCATCCTCAGCCTCGCGCTGACCTCCAAGTCGGTCTTCACTCTAAGAGCGGTGTCGCGTGGAAGGTTGTGGAGATGGCCACGCTTGCTCCGATTATGCCCGACGCCATGCCGAAACACCGATCAGATCACCAGCCAATCAGCGTCACGCCGACCTTTTTTTCTTCCCGACCACCACCAACGGATGGCGACATCCTCGCGGGCCAGAACGCGGAGCCGCGAAAGGCACGGTGGGCGCATGGTATGTACTGTCCCGCTCGAGTGAAAATCTACAGTGGCTGACGTGTCTCGCAGAACCGCCAAAAAGCACAGGCTCCGCGGCCGGACTCCCAGTCAGAGACAGATTCGGAAGATGCTGACGGAGAGGGCGAGGGAGACAAGGCAGCAGCCAAAGGAGATGACTTTGAGTTAGATAGGGGGCTAGCACCGGTGCGCTCTCACTCACTTTCTGGCTCTACAACGATGCTCAAAAGGTGCGCAGAACGCTGACTCCGCCCGAAATACCCGAAATACCGTGACGGACGTCAGCTCTAACCTGTGTAAGGTAAGACCACCTCCGTGCGCCCTCAGTCTACTGGGCTAAGTTGTACAGCGCAGCAAGGCTGCTCAAGAAACGGCCCAAACCGCGTTTGACGTTGCGCAGAGGGCGCTGACAGACATGTTGGCGGTCAACGACGAGTTGCGTGTGGACAACGAGGAGAAGAGCAATGAGTTTCAACGGGTATTTCCACTCTACCAAGGCATCAGCGTGGTAACGGTGAGATACCAGCGGCTTGACGATGCTATGGCGGCAGAACGCAATCACTTCAATGACCTCCTCGACGACATCGAGGCCAAGTACCAGGAGATGAAAATGGTAATGGTATTCAAACCAACTCTCTCCTCATATCTGACCAGCGCTCACAGCTTCTGGAGATACGGGCGACGAGGAACGTCCAGGTTCACACACTCTTTCGTTCCGAGGATAGCCCTCATTTCGATTTCAGATTCCTCACGCCATACAAGCGGCTCGACTTCATTTGAAGCGATTCAAAGTGCCCTTCCGGCCCATGAAGGACCTTCCGGTTATCTGCCCCGCCACTGACGATCCCTGGCAGCGCCTCTCGTCGGTGTGTATTCCTTCTCTCCGGGGTTCATTGGTTGAGCAGTTCCACAGAGCCCCATAACCGCCCGGTACGCTCGTATATATCACCTCCATCGAAAATTTGACATTTTAAACAGCTGGCTCAACCACATCCTCTATCTTCCAGATCGATCACTATGTCTGCACAAAGCTGCATATCTGGCCTTCGCGCTTGCCGGGCAGTGGGACGACAGCGCGGGGGTATGGCGCCCAGACTCCGACTTGAGCGCGCTCGTGGGGAGCGAGAAGGAGCTCGTTGTCAAGCGCGGGGGCAATCTCTTTTACGTCGGGACTAGAGATGGCGGCGTTCGGTTCGGTTCAGGTTCAGGCAGATTTTTTGTGAACGCCGAACCTGAACTTGGTGGTTCAAGGCGGTTCGGTTCAGGTTCGAACTCGGTTCAAACGCTGAACTTCATGTCATCGAGAACACATCTTATTCAACGCACAAGTATGTACATTCTTAGTTGTCAATAATATCATCATCGTCGGACACCTCTTCTGCGACTGCCGATGATCCAAACTCGTCATCGTTGAGCTCAGCGATAAGCGCGTCCAAGTGCTTGCCCGCATCAGCAGCTGCACTGATGTGGCCGTTGCGGTATCCACTCTTGAGGAGCTGGAGAGCTTCGAACACCTTAGGAGTGAGTCGGTTCCTCAGTTTTGTTCCTGTACGCCCCCCACTTGAAAATGCACGTTCCGCTGATGTTGCCGAGCCCTGGATAGGGAGGAAATCACGGGCCATTGCGCGCAGGGTGGGCATTGATGTATTGTGCTATGGATAGTGAGTTCGGGACCCATCACTGTTGCAGACAACACATACCCCCCAGTAGTGCAACACGTCTGCTTGATCTTCAACGGGTGCGGACAGATATGCATTGAGCTCTGCATCCGGATTTGCTGTTGCTTGGTCTTGCTGTCGGATCGAGTTGATCGCCGCAGCGAGAAACGCGCTACCATAAGCCTGTGAAGGCTGTGCCGGTGCTTGAATGGCGGAAACACTTTGCGCTGGTGGTTGAGTATCGGATTCGGCCACTCGACGTGACTTGTATCGATTAAACTGTTGGCAATCACATGAAATCTGGTAAATCAACCCAGTCGATGAGAACACACACCGTTTGACGCAGGAGATTCATTCCTCTGATGTATCCAGTAGACTGTGGTCCCCACTCTGCGCGGAAGTACAGATCTTTGACATTAGAGTCCAGAACTAAATCAATCAATACAAGGATGCGAACTTGAGCTAAAAGACTTACCCAAGCAGATAAAGTATGCACTTGAAGTTGATTGGGCGTGATTGAAGTTTTTTTGAAGGCTGCGTACGCCGGAATTAAGTGTGTTGTGAATTTCGGCATATTGAGGTTGCTGTGCCATTGTTGTCCAGGCGATTGATCAGGAATTCAAAGGTTGATAAAATGCGCCAGACGGTAGGATTCCGTTCACTTGAGAACGTCTGGGTAATGTTATAGATATCCTGCAAAGTATGAGAGACGTATATTTGGGCTCAAGGATTAACATGTACATAGTGCTGTCCAATTATGATTATGAATACGAAATTTTCATAATTTATTCATATTCATAATATATTCTCTCTGCTGGAGCATATTATAATTGTATTCATATTCATAATCATAATTGGGCTCAGAATATGAATATATTATGAATATATTCAATTATATTCAAGCTTCACAAGTCTGCACATAGTGCATATAATCCACCTTATCTCATGGTTTATTGAACCACTCCTTGGTTATGGTTGTTTCTGTGGCCAATTTTGCAGTCATTGAGGCATGCATATCTGTCATCCTATGCTTGATGCTGGAGTCTGGAGACCAGGTGCCCTACAGAGATGCTCTTTGCAGCCATAACCAGGATTGGTAACATAGCCTGGATATTCTACAACAAGATATTAAGCTGAACAAAACTCTAGCCTAGGTCAAGTATGATACCTTCACCAGCGAAGAGTATCATCAAAGTCTTGCGCGCTACATAGCGCATTAGCGCAATGATAATTCATATGATTGAACAAGTACCTCAATGAAACGAGCTGTTTTGGCGTTGCTGTCGGATGTGGATGCACTCCCACAGCCTCGCAGCGTTTCTTGTAAATGGCATAGTGTCCTTTCTGCCTGAGGGAACTGGTCAGCCCCAGAGAAATGAAAGAAGCGGAAAGACATACCGCGCAATATGGAGTCTGAGTGATGTAACGCTACCCGTGAAGAACGAATTCGCCTCGTGGTTTGCGCTGGAAAGGGTCAGAGAAAGAAAGCGGAGTTCGAAGAGAAACATACATGCAAGCCTTGCATTCATGGCCGTCGGAAATGACACCGGTTTTCGGGTGCGGATGGCCTTTTTTGCGCACGAACATGGTCCGGATATCAGCGGTTTGGTCCGAACGAGTCTTGTGTGGCGCGGCCTGGAAATGCGGTCAGCTCTGGGGAATCACAACAGGACACCTTGTACATTGGCATGGTCCATATCCCCCATTGCCCGGAGTTTCTCGAAGTCCGCTCGACTATTCGTGTCATCATCGTCAACGTCGGTTGCAAGGCCGCCGTCCGTGGTTGCTCCGTCGATGTCTGTTGCTGGAACCGTCTCGCCTTCGATTTCATTTTCTCCCTGTAAACAAATCAGATGGTCACGGCAAAAGAACAATGATAAGCCAAATTTACCTCGGCGTGGAAGTCCTCGTCACTGGCACTACCAGACAGCTCTGACCCCGAATCCGCAGTTGGAGTAGTCGCAGATGCCGCCCCGGCAAGACGCCGCACCTTACGCTTGACAAGACGCCCAGCTAAAGCCTTGCGCTTTCCCGCTGCGACCGACGGCCGGGCTTCGAGCTCATCGTCTGCCTCTCGCGCAGCAACCAGGCGAGCGGAGGCAACCGTTTTGCGATTGGAGCGACGGGCACCAGCCACCATTTGTAGCGGCTGGATGTTGGTAAAGATGGGATGGATAGTCTTCGATGGGCCGGCGTTGTTGGCACGGTGAGCGATCGGCTGCTCGTCGTCGACATCGTTGTAAAATGCGATGTCAGCCGCGTCGCGCAACGAGCCATCGGGGTTCTGAGCGCATCCCAGAGGTGAAGCCATACTGAGTTTTTGGTGTTCGTCTCGCTGCAGCACCGAGCTTTTATTCAAGGCCAGCTAATTGTTTTCAGTTACGAAAAAGGATTAAGCGACAAGCCCTGGTTGCGTACCTGGCGCGCGAGCGAGCGGCAAGCGCATCTCCCGACACGGCCGAATGGCAGGACAATGGGCGAACTGTGCTGGGCTGACGGAGGACAATGGCGTGGTTGGTGATGGCGGGAGTCAAGAGACAGCTGGCGCTGATGGCTTCAGTCACCCATCCAAATCCGGAATATCTCCCATCTAATCTGATTGATGGGCGGTCCGGTAGCCCGGCGTTCAACGTTCGAACGCGTTCGGACCGGGTTCAAGGAAATTTATTAACAGCTGAACGCCGGACTGAACTTTCGGTTCAGGTTCGGGGCCACGCCGAACTTTGAACCTGAACGCACGTTCAGTTCAGTCCGGTTCGGGTTCGAACCAGAAGCCCGAACCGGACGCCGCCATCCAAGGGGGGCGCAAGATGCCTATCACGGCTATGGGGCAGGGGGGGGTCCAGAGCCTAGAAAAAAAACTTTTGTGTTTGGTGTAGGGATGCTTCAAGAGGTACTTAGGAGGCCTTAGGAGGCCTTTCATATGTAGATCTTCCATGTTAAATGCCATTTTATACCTTTGAATGCAGTGAAACCCAGTTTTTTTGGTGAAGTGACTAAACTTGTCACAGTCTTTGATAGCATCAACATATCATCATGATGCAAGAAGCAATACAACTTTATATGAGAGTTCATTTAAAGGCATAGGAACATTATAATAGCCTAGTTACAATTTAATTTAATCACATTTTCCATTTTCAAGACCTCTATCGATCATTTTGATGCGATTTTGATCGCATCAGTCACGTTTTCGTGGGAGATCATTACTATATAAGGCAGGAGGGGGAGGGGGGGGGTCCAGTGGGCGCAAAAAAAAACTTTCAGCCCTATGTGTAAGGGCAACCCCGGAGGCCTGAGATCAAGGTCCTAGCAGGGGAGGATCCAAAGAGTGAATAGAAGTAAGCAAATACAAGTGAGGCTGACCTAGCAGGGGAGGATCCAAAGAGAAGAAACTCTAAGGGTCCGCCTGCTAGGTAGCGGAACTATATACTGCGCTCTTGAGCGCCAAGGTTGATCGTTGCTCCGTGCAGTATGCCTGCGCCATGTCGCAGGCCAGGTCCCAGGGGATCGCCAGGCGGGGCGGCGATGCGCCTGACGGAGGCGGTGATGCGATCACCGGAGTCGGAACCGAGTCGGACCGGAATCGGGATCGTCTCCGAGGGGCCGAAAGGGAGGTTCCCCTGACATCACCCCCCCTTTGAATGCGGCGTCCCGACGCATAGACCGGAACGGAATCGAGTCGAAGGTTGCGGAGGCGATGTGCCGTGGTTTGCCAGGGTACTTACGGTAGAACTCCGCGATTTTGTCCGGGGCGAAGACGGTCGAAGCGGACCCACTGGTCGTGCGACGCGTCGTAGCCTTTCCATCTGACGGTAATTCAGCCGTTTATACCTCACCCTTGCGTCCAAGATCTCCTCTACTTCCCACTCCGGGACTCCGTCCTCGAGGTCCGGAGGGGGCTGGTCGTAGCCGGGGCGTCCGTCGAAGGGGTCGTCTTGGGCGAGCTCAAGCTTGACGACGGGGAAGACCGGGTGGAGCTTCGAGTAGCGCGGAGGGAGGTCGAGCTTGTAGGCACCTTTGCTGATCTCCGCGACTATCTTGAACGGACCGAGGCGGCGGTGGGAGAACTTCTCCGAGGGGCGAGTCGTCCTGATGTCAGAGGCATCCAGCCAAACACGGTCGCCAACCTTGAACTCCGGAGACGGAGTGCGTCTCCGGTCGTAGTAGCGCTTATACTCTTCCTTGGCCTTAGTGAGCGCGGCCTTGGCTCCGGCAACCCCAGTGGCAATTCGGTCGCGGAACTCGTTCACAGACTCCATAGCGGAACGGGCTCCGGGTTCAAAGCCCATGCGCGGAAGCCGTCCCGTGTCCGTCATGAAGGGGACTTGCTGCGTGGATGAGTGGACGTGGTTGTTGTAAGCGAACTCCGCGGCCGGAATCAGCTCATCCCAGTCGTCCTGCTGATAGTTGGTGAAGATCCGCAGGTACTGCTCCAACTCCTGGTTGACGCGCTCTGTCTGACCGTCCGTTTGCGGATGATACGCGGTGGACGTGGCTGGCTTGATGCCGATTAGACGCCAGAGTTCTCGGGTGAAGTCCGCGATGAACTGTGAGCCACGGTCGGAGACGTACTTCTCCGGAGTCCCGTGATGGCGCCAGACATTCCGGTAGTAGAGGCGGGCTGCTCCTAC